TCGACCCTGACAGGAAACACAGCTGCTCAAAAATGCTCCTACAAGGCATAATAACTCGATCTTTGTTCTTCTGAGGGAAGAAGAAACACTGAAGACGCTTGCTCCTCAGAGGAGCAAAAGCAGAAAAGGCAGCCTGCATTTTCAAGAGAAGGAGGGCTCTGTCTCTGAAGTCTGTTGATTTTGCAAGAACACGAAATGACACCTCAAAAGGCTGGGAGTCTTAGACAAAATCACGGACTGAGCTGACACGTGGTTATACTATGAAAAGCGAAGTATTGGAACAGTGAAGCAAAATGTGGTGTTTTTGCTGTCTACGTATTAACACAATAATATTCACAACCAAGTAAGAGATTGAGAAGATATGAGAAGGCTTACGCTACTTTAAAAAACAACTCGAGCGCAGGAGTTTTCTTATGTTGAAATTCCTGAATCCGTCACTGGTGTAACTGTGATAAGATGTAAAGTGTCTCATGACCTCTTATATTTTGGGGTTGCAGAAGAATAGCCAGTGTTTAAATTTAAATTGGGTCATAATGTTGGGAAGCCTTACTCTAGATGCAGTGGACAGATCCCAGAAAATGAGAGCACTTAATGAACAACAGGGGTTCAAACACAAATGAATAGTGCTAGACGTCGCCCCAGGAGTCTGGCTGCACCTGCTCCAAACCTTTGCTTAAGGGGGAGGCAAAAGATGTCATGGAGGGTGAGCCCTGGTGGGAGCCAGATGCCAAGAACTGCCTTGTAAACCCAACCCTTGAGGAAGCCCCACCCACGTCAAGCCCCATACTGCCTGGCCAGCCCTGTGTCTGTGTCCCAGACAGCTGGTGCAGGATTACCATACCATTACCATTACCAGACTGGATTTTCTGTTAAGTGATCACAGTTACATAACCAAATGTAATTTACCAAATTAATCAGATAAGCAAGAGTTGAAAATATTTATATTTATAACATTAATGCATAAATATAATTACATAAATTATATTTAGATTGATTTACATGAAATTAGATAAATATATAACTATAATATTATATCAACATAATATCTATAAGAATGTATCCATATTATTATTATAAAGTGTATATAGAATTGTTAGGGTGCATTAGAAACAGAAATTCTGCTTCTGTGTTGTTGAATAGTAACATGACATAAATCCCTCAATCCCCTGGAGGCACTATGCACCCAGTTCTGACTTTATAACACTACAATCCAGGCCACTGAGACCCTCCGGCAAGCAGTGGAGACTCTAGGTAAGTCTCCTTCTGTATTTCTATAGCTTGTCAATATAAACAAACCCCCTCTCACATACAGTTGAGAAAGCTCTCGTGTTAGAATGCCTAGTGTATAATATTTCATAGCTGCATCTTATCTGCACACTAGTTTGTAGAAAAGTAATGCTTATGGACTCATGCTCAGAGTAAAATCGGCCACAGTATAATCATCAACATAACCAACACACTGCACAGAGCACAGAAGCTACTTACTCAGCTGAAGTGGAGGACTGGGCTCTGAATAGCCAAACAGGACCCCTATCAGAGTGGAAGCTGGACCAGAACTGTACTGTTTCAGGGCATTCAAAGCACTAAAAAAAATGGAGAAGAGCTTAAGTGAAAATTCATTGGCAAAAGGTCCTGCACTATTCAAATTACTCTTTGCAACTTTTTGTATCAAATCATAAGAATTTTATAACCATGTATTTTATCAATACAGAACTGCACAGTCTGCGAGGTGCTAAAAGGCAACTGGCTCAAAGGCGTTCAGGACAGAGTAGTCCGTCTACACTTGCTCATTCTTCCCTTTGTGTGTCACGGGGTTTGCAAGTGCTGAGAAACATGCCGTCAGCTGCTGCAAATTTTACATTTAAAAAAAGATTACTCAAATACTTTTAGAAATTAAACCCAGCTAAAAATGAAAGCTATAGCATTTGCTTGCAATGGGAATACTTCAGTTTTTAGAACGCTTGCTTTTGGCCAATGCAAACAGAATTTTGTATATAACCGTATATTATAGTTCTTCAATGTGTGTAACAAATACCAATATAATAAATGAGGTTTATATAGTACATACTTCTTCAGTCGTTTATAGGTGACATCATTGGCCAGCTTCAACACATTGTAAGGACCCTCTGCCTCCAGGTTCTGGCTGTCCTGAGATTCATCGAAAGCCACAGAGATGGAAACCTGGGTCACACGCGTCACAACACCAGTGACCAGCTGAGATGATGGATTCACACCCGCTGAATCATACAGACCCACTATGTCACCTGGAAAAAGTTAAAAAAAATTAAAAACAAAACATCAGGAAGGCTGTCTGCTATTGTGAGGCAGTATTTTACTAACACAGTAGACATCTGAGTTAGGAAGTAAAATAAATCTGTGAATTATCCAACAAACACACTCCGCAGGTGAACAAGGGGTTTTGTTTTTCACCATAGTTTCCTTGCACAACCACATACGTATGCCGCCACAGGTCTGGACGTGCTCACAATAGAATAATTTATCCCTGGGTCACTACAGTAATGCCTCTTGGATTTAATAATCATAACTGAAGTTCTCATCTCAAAGAACTAAGGCTCTTCGACCCACATCGCTACAGGCTTCACCTTGTGTAGGCACATTTTATCATCCTGCAGAATAACCCCCCTTGCATACTTGACCTCTCATCATCAGACTTTCAAGAAGACCAAGATCTTCATATGCTGCATAAAGACATGCATTTTATATACCTTTATTTTAAATACAAATTGAATCCCAGTACAGTTACAGATACACAATGTGCAACACTCCATCCCAAACAATGTTTCTTACCAGGCCCAAAAGTGTTGCTTGGCAGCGTACCAGTTCCAACATATTTCCCGGGTTCAAACGTGACAAGGCGTCGTCCATACAGGCCTGTTTTCTGACGACCTATTTGAAGTTTCAGTAGACAGACTCCCTTGCGTTGAAGCTCCTTCAAAGAAATGCTCTCCTGCCAAGCCCTGGACAACAATAAGAAACATTTTTTAATTAAAAAAGTAACAAACTTGAAGAAAAAGTCAGAGCTTTAGAGGTTCTAGGGTTTTGTGTTTTGTTTTCCCCGACTGTAATTAAAATAACACTTATTCATTTTATGGCTGTGTATGTGTGCATGTTCCCAAGATCCACCCACTGATGCTACCATGACATAATTGCAGTCTCTGGGACAGCGAACTCAAGTGGCAAATGGTAACAGTGCAAGGGAGATTTACAGGAAAAAAGGAGGATCTAATTAGACAGCCCACTTTGACCCAGCAGGCAGTGAAATAAGGACACTAAGAGAAAAACATAGTCGAAGCAATGATGTTTTACAACAGAATTTAAAGCAAATGATTGAAGGTGTACTGACATCAGGTTATAGTGATGCTTCGTCACCAATATCCCTACCAATCTAGAGAGTGAGTGGCAGAGGAAACAAACACATCCTTCAAGAACAAAGATCCCCAGGACTGACAGATGGGAGCAAGCTATCATGCTCTGAACTGGTGCTGCTAGAGGGGGAGGGCAGAGACATCCACGGGCAACTGGATGGTGTTGTGTGTAGAGCAGAGATCACTCTCACAACTAGACTGCCTGTGGAGAGAGGGACCTCACTTGGTGGAGCAGAAGTGAGTAAGGGAATGTTTTGGGGGATTCATCTTTCTTTTTTCTTTTATTGGTGGGGGGGTTGTTACCTTGATTATTTCTTAAAATGAGACAGCTCATTTGCTCACTTGTATTAAATTATTTTTGATAAAACTAGTTTGAGCCTCCAGCTTCCACTGGAGGGCCGGCTACTTCACACGGTGTCAGTAAATTACCTTGTTTCCTCAATCTCCACTGCTCTCTCCTCCTGCAGAAGCTCTAGTGTTCTGGTCACAAAGGTCTCCACAGCCATAGTCACAGCCAACCTGAGCCAAACACATGTGAGCGTTCGTGATGATCATGCGACATGCTGGAACAGGGAAGCAACAAATGGATCATGTCTGAACAAAAGCACATGTTTAGGTCCGAATTCAATCAAAACATCAGCCCACCACCAATCAAATTCCCAAACCCACTGCAGCACGGCAGGTTTCCCATGGACGAAGGGAACAGTAATCGTTTTTAGTACTTAACTGCATTATTTGTACAGTATACCTCTGGACTCTGTATAAGGCTACCTTTGAAAATGCGTTTAAGTCACACATGCTCACATAAAAACCAGATATACCTAAATCTACTTTCACCTGTGATGGACTACTAGAGGATAGCCAGACAGTAGATACACAGCCTAGCAGCTTCAAAATAATGTTTGTTTGTTTTTCATCCACCAACAGTATGGTAACAAATAGGATGAGTAAATAACAAAATAAAGATTGAGAACACATCATCTATTAAATTATTATTTAGTAAATTCTGGTATGTATAATTACAAAAGAGACATTAGTAAGGGCAGTTAAGTCCACACAACTATGTAAAGCCATAGGAACAGAAGACACAATAAAATATAGAGCAAATATAATTCCTCACAAAGCCAGAAAATAAACATGTTGATTTAGTGTTTACGTGCAATTAAAAAAAAGGAAAAGCAAAACTCTGGAAAGCGACAAAGAAAACTACATTTTCTATCGCCATCGTAAAAACATTATTATACTGTAGCTGCAAGCAAGAAAGATGAACTGTATCAAACAGGGGAACCGATTCAGTGCCACTTCGCTTTGTTATAAGGAATATACGATATGATTTTTTATTAGGCTATAGAAAATGACCCGACGATCAAAAAGTAAAACAGATTAAATCAAACCAAGAGAATTAATGTTATAAAGTATAACCCAGTAGGTCATCTAAAAGAACTACGGACGTCAACCCTGGTAAATGTTCAAGTATAAATTCCACAGTCCTCTGCTTTCACTGCGCTGCTCTGTTATCAGTCTTTTTGTATGGCATTACAGTAAACAACACACTAGATAAAATCCACTCCATGCCCAACGTTAATAAAAAAAATCATTAAGATCTCACAATGAACGCTTACTAACCTGCACTATCTGTATAACTGTGTAACTATAACTCATACACACACCCCCTCTGCTTCAGACGTGATCATTATCATTACGTGCCTGCATTCGGAGCAGGAAAAACCGTGAACGCTGGTACTACCAACAATTTGGGACACATAGAAACGCTGACTGTATCGACTGAGTTCCCACTGGGGTTATTTTAGATGAGTGAAACTACAAAGGATTCCCGAGTAATGCATTGTATAAAAAATGTGACATTAATATGATAGGGTATAAAAATATGGCTGATGTCTTTCATTTATAAGACCTTTTTATATGATAATTGTTATTAAAATGGTTGGTTACAGAACACAGCGTGTATTCTCAGCTACACCAGGATAAGTATTTCCGGGTCGGCGCGCTCGCTTTACCTCTCTGTCAGGGTGAAAATGGCAGTAAACACCGTTAATGGGGTAATACGAGTGTGTATGAGGTTCACCCGGCCGGCCTGGCCGTTAGCTGGGAGCCTACGGACAGGTAAGAGGTGGGGAGGAAAGTGAATGTATGAATATGTGTGTGTGTCCAAGTTACTGTGGTTACAGGACTATCAATGTCAGGAAGACGAGTGACGAGTTCAGAGCAGACTGTGGGCTCTTCATCTGCTAATGAAGAGAGTACCGAGGCTTGTGCATGAGACTAACTAATCTAATACATTCATAATTTTGGTTGCCTAATTTTACTGTTGTCTAATATCTCAAATAAGTGCTTTATTTAGTTATATATATATATGTATTTCTGCTTCATTTTGTAAGAATGTATAAATACCTTTCAGCTTTCTCGGATATTCTTTCAGTTGGAAATAAGTAATACCAATATAAGGTACTAGTTTAAAAAGCTGAAAATCCCTGGTCTGCAGATATTCACTCCTGTTGCTTTATGGCTGCAATTCTTTGTTTCTTCTCGTTTAGATTGAATTGAATGCACACATCCTGACGTTTATAAGTGCTAGTTAGCAATCTGATGGATTTGGGTCTTATTTGGCCAATATAAATATGCATAATTCAAATGTTTTGTTTTAGGCTCTTGCTTTCCTGCCTTTGTACGTCATTGGAGTTCTCAAGATGTCAAACTGCCTTCAAGGTAATAATAACCACTAAGGTGCTTGAATTTTATCTGTGTTCTGTATAAAGTGCATGATATTCATGCTGGAACTTTACCATTTGAAAATCTGTCCATTTTCTGGCTGCTTCTTCCAATCAAGGGTTTCCGGGGAGCCAGAGCGTACCCTGACAAGCATCGGGCGCAAGGCAAGATGCACCCTGGAAAGGACACTAGTCCATTGCAGGGCACACACAAACACAAATCTCACACCAGGGCCAGTTTTTCCTGAAGCCACTTAACCTACCAGTATGTCTGTAGGCTGTGGGAGGAGAGCAGAGCACCTGGAGGACTGCCTTGTGATCTTGGGGAGATCATGCAAACTCCACGCTGACAGCCCCTAAGGCCTGGAATTGAGCCCAGAGCCCAGGAGCCCAGGACACGTTTAACATAAAAGATGATGATAATAATCGCTGTATGTCAAATAGTAAATGAATCTTTAATTTGCATTGCACCATTGAAAATGTAATTATGATCAGGCGGTTGCATCTTTGTCCTGTGTGATAGTGAGAAATATTATGAGTTTGGTCTTTGCCATACATGTCAGTGGAAACATGCGAGATTAAATATACTAATTGTCAATAAACTGCTGCATACTCACCTCTTTATGTCTCGTAGCTTTGTCCCAGAGACCTCCTTATCCAGACCTCCTTGGTCAGAGGTTTCATTCCCTGACCCTGTGGAAGAGACACAGAGACACCAGGGTAAGGACAAGGGATTTTAGGAAATAGACTTTTATTGTCTAAGTGTACAATGAACTCTCAATTGCTACTATACTGACACCCAAGAGACATTCGGATATACATGACAGGTTTTGTAATTATACAAGAATCAAGGTGAAACTAATATTTCTATTTTCAGACAAGAAATTGATCCTAGTATTGAAATTGTATTTCAGAAGTTTACTAGACATCCCCTTTTAGACAGTTTACCCAAATTTTACTAGATGTCCTATTTTATGTCTTGTAGGGTGTGTCTTATTACAGGTGGTTTTCCATTACATTGGATATGCTAGAATGCTGTTTATGATGCAAACTGTATGTTTTCACATTTGCTGTAAATAACTCCAGTCTTCCAGGGACCACCCAGATTAAACATATTATACTGTATATGTACTGCAGAAAACATTGGTGTCCCCCATATTTATTCAAATCCTTGATGAAATCAGTAAAACATAAAGCAGAAAGATTTAGGAATACTAATGTTACCTGCATCAAACATGTTTTTCTTTTTTATGCAGATGTTGTACAGAAAGTCAACAACCTTCTTGCTACAGGCCAGTGTGGCAGATTGTTTGCAGTTGTTCATTTTGCAAGTCGACAGTGGAAAGTAACAAACGAAGACTTGATTCTTATTGAAAACCATATAGATGCTGAGTGTGGAGATCGAATAAGACTGGAAAAGGTTGGTTCTCTTTCATGCTTAGCAGAATGATTTAAGGTTTTTCACATAACTAATGCCAGCAAAAGTTTGGTTTGGAGAAAATGTTTTATGCATGCAACAAAGTGTTTGTGTAAACAGAATTAAGTCATATCATCCTTTGTGCATCTCAGGTTACTTGACAGCTTTTGTTCAGAGTCAGAGAGAGAATCTGTCTGTTGTTTTTACCCTTAATAGAGGTTATAAAGAAGAGGAAACCATTCTATCCATCAGGTTTATTTGGTGGTGTAGTAGCTTAGCAAAACTAATATTTCACCCAGCCTGAATGTGATATTTCCTCAGGGGTATCCATATCTACGTACCTTAGGGTTTTATGTACTTGAATCAAATCTCCTTTCTGCTAGATTGAAGGGATTTCATTCAGTTCAGTATGACAAAGACCAAACCTAAATTACTGAGAATTGATTAGTGCATCGTGAATCTTAAATGTAACTTATCTGTACTTAACTTTCATAATTTTACATGCCCAGGAATTATATTGGTTTTTGTCTTTCCTCCTAATATTTTCTTAATGAAATAAGTATACTCTACACAAACACCCAGATCCCTTTGGTGTGTAGCTTCCTGGAGCAATGACTTGCCCATGTGACACGGAATGTGTGAATTGGATAATTATATCCAGTGAGTCTTAGTTCTGTTGTGTGCAAAGTTATGGAAACACTTTTCAAGTATTCACAGCAGACCTCTAGTTGATCAAACTCATGGATGACATAATGAGTGTGCTTGTGTAATGTCTGTTCAATAAAATGTCAGTACACCTAAGGCAAAAAAACCTTCTTCTTCATGTCATTAATTTGTTGCAAGTAATAATTTTATTAGATTATGTTAAAAAAGTCAGATCTCTTAATGAAAACATCCCATTTTTATTTTACTGGATGCTAGCCCATGTTGATTTTTCTGAACACTTGAATGTTATATCTGCTAATAAACATATTCTAGGTGTTGCTGGTTGGTGGAGAAGATTTCACGCTAATAGGAAGGCCTCTTCTTCAGTATGTACTAAATATTTTCTACCATAATGTGTTGATTGAAGAGATTTGTCAAAAAGGCCCATTATATTTTACTGTTCTTGTACTACTGATTGTTTTACATACATATACAGTTTATATCTGTAATGTCATGAAAAATATAATAATTCAATACCAACTTTTTTTCCTAGTAATAATTTACCTTATTGTAAATGAAATATTTGAATTCACTAATGGAAATTATGAAAATGTGAAAATAGTGCATCATAAGGACTAGACATGTTTTATCCTTTATTTATTAATATTAAAGCACAGAAGACACAACCGCTTTGAAAATTAAGAAATAACTTAAGTTGTTATAATGTACTGCAAGTCTAATTTTACAAATAGCAGTCACATTTAATTCATCTGTTATTCTGATGTTCATTTTTTTGCTTGAGGGATAAACAAGTACGAGATTAGCAGTTTAGAGTAAGCCTGTATTTAGAATACAACAACTGCAACACTGTTTAACTGAAAACTATTTGCTGAAGCAATCATCATCATGACCGTTTGTTTGGATAAGTCTTTTCTTTTTCATGTAGACGAGACTTGGTGCGCGTGGAAGCGACTGTTATTGAGAAGACCGAATCCTGGCCAAAGGTCCATATGCGGTTTTGGAAAAGGCACAGATATCAGAGGAAAAGAAGTAAGTTTACTTGTGACAAAAACTGAATGCATCTCTTTTGTAACCACATATTGTTGGTCAGACACTCTACCATACAACCTATTGAACTAGGTGGGCTGAATGATGAATCAGCTGAATCTCTCATTTTTCATTCTAATATTGTGATCACTGTGTGATTATATATTATTATAGTAAGAATGTACTATTCTTACTGTTTCATTGTTATGATCCATGGGTTGATTGACTTTCAAAGTTTAAAGAAAATAAAATGTTTGTATTTTTTTTAAGTAAGGAATATCAGCTCAGTACTTACATACGTACCTTGTATATTCAAACAAGACTCAGAAATCACAGGTCAGTGAGTGTTAAACAGTTTGAACAAAACTACACTTCACTCCCAGCTTTTAAAGTGGGCTTATGGATCTAAAAATGCTCTCCCTGCAGAAGTTAATATACAGTATCATCATAATTGCCTGTTACAAAATATTCTTTTTTTAGATAAGGAAATTCCCTTGAGATCTCATTTTCAAGTACTTCCTGAATAACTTCAGTTCACCATTTTCTAAATAAGGCATGCAAAATCAGTGAACATTAAAAAGACTTGCATACCATATGTGACTGTTGTCTGGTTCATTTGTATTATTTTCGCTGAGGAAGAAACCTTTCAAGTTCTCATTGTGACTTCTTCATGGACAGTGCTTATATTTTTGTTTGCATTGAATCCAGGAATTTGCCCAGCATTTACAGAAAGTTTCTATGTATGTATTAGTACATGGCAACATGAAGCTCACCTGAATAGTTTAGCTGATTAGAAAGAAAAAAACAGTACAACTATATGATTACACAAGTTAGAAAAGTAAATGATTTAGCTTTGCTTCTTAAACACATTATTTGACATATACAGTGCTAACTGCTTTATACCCAGGAATATATAATATATTAGAGTGTGGTTTAGCACTGAAATATTGGGTCTTTGAAATTGGAAATAACTGACTCTTCAGTTTTACATTCTTTAATTGAGATCCCTCAGTTTTTCTGATTCAAGGTTGCATGACTGAGGAAGACGAGATAAATTCCAAGCTAACTTTCCAAGCCTGTCTCCTGCTTAGTACTGAATTCTTTCTGAAATCCCCTGTGTTTACTTTATTTCCGCCTAATCTCAGTGTGTTTATTTTTGTTTGAAATAAACAAGACCATTTACTTCGTCATGAAAATGGAAATTACAATAATTCCAAATAACAACCTAAAACTCTTTCATTTTGGTATTCCTTTGGGATCTTTTAAAGCGGCACAACTTTTGTAAGTGCCATTCCATAAGCACTGAAAAACAAATTAGAGCTACAGATTAATGCTATTTTGAGTCTTTTCCATCTTTTTAACAGCTCCAGACTGGTGTTTCTTTTTATGTATGACCCCTTTGATGTTTCTCTTCAAACAAAACATAGAGATTTCTGTTACAGAGATGTTATGATGACTACATATACTGTATTTCACTTCTTTCAGGACAGTTTTTTAGGATTTGCAACTGGACGTACTGAGTTGGAAAAAAAGTTGATAAGTGTTGCTGCATTTTCTGGAAACCTTCAAAATTCTGTAATTTAACATAATCAGATTTTCAGTCACAGTATATGGTGTGAGAGCTCGTTAATCACATTGGAGAAATCTCTCTGGTGAACTGTGTAATATGTGCCAGGGGACAGTCTTGTGATTGAACATGGCATTTTTGGTCACTGCTTGAAAAAACAGGTTTTAACATAAAATACAAAGAACAGCCATTAGCTAAGTATAAACAATACTTCTTTTTTGTTTAATGTGTTTCTGCTGTTTCTCTTTTCTTCCTATTCTTGCAGTTGTTGTGCAGCCTCAGACAGTACTACGCATCAACACAGTTGAAGTAGCACCAGGATTGTCCTGATCGGCTGTTTTTCTTTCCTGGACAAGTCTGTGCTGTTGGAAAAGACCTTTTTAAATATCTATCTTTACTGGTTACTTTCAATGAGTTTGTTCTGATGGGTCTGTTGGCAAGATTAGTAGTGCTGATCACCATGTGATCCAATAAAGCATATTATCCTGTTTTGTGTGTTTGTCATTCCCCGAACAACTAAAATACTTGAATTGCATTCTTCTTGAAAGTAAGTGTTTATTTCTCATTTATAATGTATTTCAGTTCAGTGCAGAATGCTATGTAATGTTAATACACCCTGCAGTATGTCAGAGAAATATGTTAGTTGCTAAATGGGTGGAATGGCTCAAACTCGCAGTTTAGGTGAGATCTGTGGATGTAAAGCCACCCTGCATCTCAATCCTTCGTACAGTGTGTTTATTGGAGAACGAAGCAAAAAATAGCAGGAGATTTTGTAACTGAGGTGAGCCGCATTGCCTTGTGGCATGACAACATCTCCATTCATTGCCATTTCGGGCTGAACCAGGCTCTCACCTGCCAGTACAGCCTCTGTCCTGGCTCCAGGGGTGGGTCACGCTGTCCCTGATCAGGGCAGAGTTCTCTCCATCATGGGAATCTCGTTTGGATCCGTTTTTGTCTGCCCCTCGCCTTAGACCGGTTTGCCAATGGTAACCTTACCAGTAGCACAAATCTCCTGTAATTAATAGTTTAAAAAATTCAGTTCACCACTGAAAAGGTGTTGAAGGTATTTGACCTCTTTCAAACAACTGTTAAAATAAATGTTAAATTATATTAATGTTAAAAAAATAAACACTGTATCATAAAATTAAGATGAACCTTCACCATCCCTCATTCTTCTCCCGCTAGGGCACCTTTTAATCCTGTCTTCATTAGTGTGATAATATTCAACATTATTCATACTTTCCCTCTTCTAAGCCTAAATTATTCACCTTTTTATTGGCTTCGCAATTCCGCCCTGTGGAGGTTTGTGTTGCTTTGAGACCCGTTTGGTGCTCACTCAATTACATGGGTGTTGCCAGACACACATCTGCTTTTCAAAGCAATTGAATAAAAAAAAAGACAACAAAGTATGTAAATTGTCCATTTGATGGCAATAGTAACGTTTTTGCTATTTAAACTTAAAACTTGAGTAATCATATAAAAAACTAAATAATCTTATAGTGCTATGAAAAATTGTCTTATAGTGGTAACTACCTATTCATCTGTTTTCTAATCTTTTCATCCTGTTCAGGGTCGTGGGTACAAGACGGGATGCACCCTGGACAGGAAACTGCTAACTAGTACAGTGTAAAACAAAAAATGTTGTTGGACCTGAAAAATAATCTTGTAGTGCTACTGTACTCAGTACAGTGTACAGTCATAGTGCTGCTAGAGTTGCACTCAATTTGTTTCAGCAGTTTATTTAGCTATTCACATAAAGGCACTGTCAGTTAAATAGCCAAACAAACTTGTTCAACAGGCTGATGGTTCTGTACGCCAAGAAACAAAAAGCCTTGAAGTGCATGTTATTGTTGTATGAAAAAAAAAGATAAAAAATGTAAAGGTTAACATCATCATAGTACAAAATGTACAGTACGCGTACAAAGCTTTACTTTAAAACTGGCACAGTGAGAACAAAACTTTGAAAATGTTTTACTTGGCTTCAAGTAGAGATGCAATTCATTTTTGGACATTGCAGTTGCATTTCTACTGACACTGAAGAGCCCGGATCATTAAAACCAGCAATAAGAGGATTTGTTACACTTGCTATTCATGTGTGTAAGAAGCAGCTATAGTTCTTCATCCTTTTTTTTTTCATTGTCAACATTATGTCACGAACTATATGACAGTTCCGGAAAATAATCCCAACCACATGTAATGAAAAGTCCGCCTGTTGGCTGAACTTTTTATACTGCTGCTGCTGTGACGCAAGCTGACTACTGAAGTGAGACAATGACTTACACAAAACACGAACTAAGAAACCTATAGTGATTCTTAATTTTGAAAATGATCACTAATAATTCTCCATATTAAGCACAACAGAGGGAAAAAAATGCACATGTCGTCAGCAGTGCTCTTGTTAAAGCACAACAATCTAACGCAGTACTGTATTTCTGTCGTGGTACTCCAAGAGTAATAATTTTTGACGCGTTATCATATATATCAGTCCTTCTAAACTGTATTAACCCTCGTGCGCCTAGACAAGTAATCAATAGCAGTGACCTTAATGACCTTGAAGATCATTAACCAATTGTACACGTGTTAAATCAGCAAATGTGGTACTGGGACACCACAATCAAAGTATTTTTTGGTAGTCAGAGTAGCTCAGTGATACACCAGTGATTCCTAAAAACATTGATTCAATTTGATACCCTTTTTTTTGTTGTTGCAAGATTTGCACTGCCATAGCCTTGGGTTTATCCAATTATTTTTCGAAAGTCAGCATAATTCGCGAGCGGCAAGGAGGAGGAGCAGAGAAGACGCTCGCTCTTGCTTCGCCGAGTTGCGCCAGAACAGTAGCCGTAAGCCTGCGATTTACCTCTCATTCAATTCTCAAGCGACTTTACTCATGGAAAAATACAGGGACGTTGGTCTAAATCCACTGTTTATCAGAACATGAGACAAGAGGGGAGATAACAATCAGAGGTGTGAGTTTATGCACCCTTCTCATTTTGATATGCTTTCGCCGGAGACCTTTTTAAGGATTTCGGGATGACTTCAAACTTCACTTTGCCGAGACCCCTGCGGAGATCGGGAAGCCTTCCGTCCTCGAGAACTGTCAGGATAGTGGTTTTAGGACAAGGCGCAGTTGGGAAAACGGGTAAACTGCTTTTCATTTACTTTATCGTTTATGCTAACTTCTGTTTTCAAGGCAGGTGACAGACGAGAGACGTCGGAATGAACATTAAAGCCTTTCGGAATACAACAGCTGGGACTCAGTTTTTAATCTATAATTTTCCCAACACTTTAGAGAGTTCCCTGGGTGTAGGTATGTTTTTCAGGAATTAATAGTAGTATTAGTTCCTTTTTGATTATATGTAATGAAGTTACATTTATTTACACACGGTATTATGTGCTGTTTGTTAAGCTTTAGTACATTTGCCAAGCGACATTTTGCAACTATGGAACAAGTTCATTTTTATTTAACTTTTAACTCAAGTACTGAATCTTTCCTTTGTCAAATGTTTACCAGGGGTGTGTATCTAGAATTACAGAAACCGAAAGAAACCATCCCGACCCCTGAAAATGTAAATAAGTATAAGGCACAGTAAGGCTCACCCTGCTCATCTGTTTTTGAATGGATTATTAATACTGACAAGCACAGTAGATACGTCTTTATCAGACAAGGTTCATATTTGATTCTACAAAACTCCTTAAATTTCATATTCCCACATTCAGGAGACGGGAGAGGTGACTGTTTCTTTCAAATTTAAGCCTTGTTGTCCATGTACTCCGTTTATAAACTTGAAGTAGTGGGAGAAGCTGAGGTCTTCACAGTTTTGCTTCGCTTTCAGAATGTGTGAATCTAACCTCCCTGAAGTCTTCTGTTTGTAAGGAGAAATGTGTAATTTTCTGATATTATTCTCGTCATTCAGTTTAGGTATTATCCTATTTTATTTGTACCTCTGGGCTTCTTGAAGTGCAAGATGTTTTTCTTGTATTCCAACATGGCATCAACATTTGCTGATGCACTCCAGTTTTAAAGATGCCTCTTGTTCAATTCCTTAGCTTGGTATTACGTCCCTTGAGTATGTGGAAACCCTACACGTTTGCACTGCACCACACATAGCCAGTTCCATGTTTTTACACTTCAAACTTTGCAATGCCAACTGTGAGCCTGAGGTGTTTGTATTTCTGTTAAGTGTGTGGAGCATCAGGCCAGATAAGTGATAAGTAATTTCTGGACATGAATAACTGTAATTTACAGTTGAATCTACAAAACCAGAAACCTTTCAATACGATTATGTATGAAGTTCTATGGGTAGTCCCAAGTCCTAAAACTAGCCTTTTTAAAATGTATAATTTATTTTCATTTCATACATTGTGTTTCCTGTGTATAGTTAGATTCTGTGGAAAGCTGTGTCATTGAAGTTTTACAGTATTGTTGCCATTGTGACTGAAACAGTTTGTTAATAGTGCCTTTTCTGGAGCATATGTCCCACATCTTACAGCCTCATTTTATTTGCTTTTAATCAAATTGACTGTACATCCCTTGCTAGAAAATTATTACTGTGAGACTGTTGTCTTTTTGGTTTTCCTGTTCTTATCCTTGCATGCACGTATTTTAATTTTTTTTACAATGTTATAATAAATATACTGTAATCTTTCTGATGTTTTGTAGCCATGACTGTGCGGTTCATCACAAAACGATTTATTGGGGAATATGATCCAACGCTTGGTAGGTACTTCAAGAGGTGAAGAAGAAAATTACTGGTATTTTGATGTGAAATTGATTTAAATTACATGTGTTACCTCAATAATTTAGGACAGTGGCGTTCAACTCTGTTTCTGGGGTTCTCTGTGTAGTTGTTTTTGTTCACGCTGGGGTTTTAAGTACAGTACAGACTAATTGATCTCAAATTTTGATTTGAGGCATATTTTGAGTATTTTAATACACCCAGCTATTAGAAGGTGAATAGTGTTTGTAATTGGTATCAACTCTATACTCATTCAGACGTTGCCTAAAATGTAAGCAATTAAACCTCTTCAGAAGGAAAAAAACTATCAAATAAATGTTTGACAACTTGTCATTCCTCCCTGTGTCTTTTCATCATGATTTCATCTCAGATTAATATCTGTTTAGAAGGAAACAAGGTAGTAAACTGGCAATAAGCAGTATGAGGAAAGGCTGTATAAAACATTGCACTCTGAACTTGGAACTTGTTGAAATAATACAGCTTAGGTCAGGTGTTTTTAAACCAAGGCTTAAGTGCAGAAACAGGTAAACAAAGTCAAAGCATACAAGTGGGTCAATGAAATGCATCGGTTAATAACACTGATTACTAGTTTAGTTGAGACGAGTAGTCGCTGATATAGGGGTTTCCAAGGACTAGGGTCAGGGTTCAGTGGTTTAGGGAACACATTAGTCTTACAAATCTAATGAATGTGAATTTTGCATACCTTTTTTGAAGTTTCTCATGTCTTGATGATGAGATTTTGATTAGAACATGAGTGTCCATCAAGTCCCCTCTCAGGTACTGCTGTGGTTTCTTTGAAGGGGAGCTGCAATGCTACTTTTATATTTTGTGGCTAGAAACAGTGGGCATCGATGAGTGCATTTCAAACCACAATGAAAGTAGATTTTACGCAGGCTTGTGAATTCATCTGTTTTAATCTAGTACAAATGTTGCTCTGGACTTCGAGGTGACTTTGCTGACATATGCAACTTACTTGTTAACTTTGCATGCAGATCACGTTGGAGCATTTTTGTGGTGAAATGTCTGCTACACAATCTGCACTTGTACATCCCATTACTCTAGTCATTATGGTGACTAGTGAGCAGGAAAGACCACTTCACAAGGCAATTCGCACAAACGTAGCACACTATCTCATTCTTAAGGTAAAGTATCTCAACAGATGAAGAATCAGAGTGTAGTGTGTACAGAATTAAATAACAAACATGCTCTCTGTATAGACTCTGTGTTTAGCAATTAAATAAGCGTTGGTGTTAAATTTACATTAACATGTTAATTAATTTTGCATTACATTATTTAAGATGAAGAAGTACTGTAAAGGATAGAATGAAAAAGACAATGTTTTGTCAGTTGCATTTTTTTCATGTAGATTGGCATACTCTTTACTATGCCTTTTTAGAAGTATCACAGGGACAAAGAATAGGATATAAAAATGAGTATTTTTAGATATGTTTTAATCTAAAAACATTCCTTTAGAAAAAGGGCATGCACATGAATTACTTTAAATTAATATAGATTATCTGTAAACTATATACAAGCTCATAAAAGTAAAACAATTGTATCTCAGCAAAATATTATTAAATCTCACAATATTTGTTTTGAACTCCAGGAGGTAAAAAACAAAAACACTGAATGCATTAACAAGCCATGTTACAGCAACAACCCAGTCATAAAAACGCTAAGAGAAATGATTTGGGTAATCACATTGGAAAGCTTTATAAGCAGTATAAACTCTATAAGCTTTGGCCTTCATAATTTTGGTAATATTATACTAACTTTACAAATATTTTAGTAATGTTATGTTTACTATTTTTACTTGAGCTTTTTCCTGTTTTATCAGAATATTTTATTGATTATACCCACACAGAAACCATTTATAGACATGAAGCCTCCATTAATGGCGATGTTGTGCACTTTGAAATCTTGGACACAGCGGGCCAGGTGAGTACATACTGGGTGCACTGCTTTTTAAGGTGTCCTCTGTCCTCTTTATAAATATCACAATGTATCAGTAATATAGATATTTTGTTTAACACAAATAAGAAAAATATATTGTTTAATTAGCTCAAATTGATGAAAATTTTCATTTTAAATTTTCTGAGGAAACGTTACTATCACAATAGATTTTCTGTGGTTTCATTTTTAATAGATTTAATAGTTTAATCTCAGTTTGTTGACTCCTTTCTTCTAGAAGTTTTGTGATTGGTTTTAAGTAAACAGTACATAAATGCAGAACATAAGCAGAAACCACACTTTTGCCACAATGCCACAATAATTAGGACAAAATGTTTTTGATTCATAATATTCAACTTTTTATTGTGTTTCTCACTAATTTTTTTAAGTTTTCATTAAGCATTTTTTATTTATATCGTTTAATTTAAAAATACTTCTGGTTCGTCTGGTTTCACTTCCTATGCAAGCAATTATAACATCAGTAATATATTTATTTGTAGTTGTAATATTATTAAATATAATATATTAAATGTAATATTTATTTTTAGATTACTGGAAAATGAACCTTCAGATTAAATAAACCCATCACTAAGTAATGTTTGTAGTTTTCAATTGAGCTAAATACATTGCCTGTGAAGCAGGAGGCCCGGGTTTGATTCCTGGCCAATGCACAGGTTATACTTTAATTGTCTCTTGAGGGTAATATAAACTATTTCTGTAATAGTAAAATATCCTAAACAATATGTATTCTATAATAACATTTTATTACATTTGTATATCACACTATGTAAAACATTGACATTATTCATAAATGCAGTAATAATTGAATGGTGGGTAGCTGCGTCAGCATGCGTAGGCTGCAAAGGAACAAGTAATAGGTTTATTCCATGCTGAAAAAAAGAAGAAAGAGAACACAACGTTTCGGCCGTGGAGCCTTCTTCAGGTGTCCTCACACCTGAAGAAGGCTCCACGGCCGAAACGTTGTGTTCTCTTTCTTCTTTTTTTCAGCATGGAATAAACCTATTACTTGTTCCTTTGTAATAATTGAATACTTAATAAATTGAATCTCAAAGTGAATCAGAAATGTAACTGGTTTGAATAATTGAATACAATTCACCAGAATTTAATTTAATTTAATTTAATTTAACACAATATCTGATTTGTAGTCATTTATAATAAATAAAATGTATAGTTTGTGAGGATAAAAAATGTTTATGTTGTTACAGTGAACAGCAGGGATCCCAGACACTTTTGCATAGACAAACCTCCTTAGAGAGGGGTTGGCAAACGTGTGAATTCTGCTATAGGGAGAGAAAAAGGGGTAAAGAAAACCAGGTTAACCAGTCACCTGACCACCAGACCGAAAATCTCCAGGATGCTCTGAGAACATTAAGGGAATTTAAACCACTTTAAACAGAAATCACAGTTGAGGTATCTACATGTATATTTGCTTTAAATGCTGATTTTTTATATTTTATTATATATACCTTATAAATATTAATAATAATATTAGGAACTGTGTGTGGTGTTATAGACTGAAATACATACATTAGATTATACGAACAAATTCAAAATGTATTAAGGGTTAAATTCAATTTTATAATAAGAAAAAAATAATCTCCCCAAATGTAATCTCCATTGAATCTCCATTCAAGACTGCTCTCCAGGCTTTTAATAGGCAGAGTTTAGTTTTCTTTATCGTCGACTAGAAGACAACTGACTGTATCTATGATACAAACATGCTGTAGAAGTTCGTGCAGGGATCTGTGTCAGCATGTGTGGGCTGTGCAGAAACAGGTAAAGGTAATTATTACCTGCTGAAAGGACATGGAATAAAACAGAACAGAGACACAATGTTTCAGCCCCACAGAAGAAGGCTTCACAGCCGAAATGTTGTGTCTCTTTTCTTTTCCTTTTAGTATAGAAATAAACCCTTACCTATTCCAAAAATGATGTAGGGTGAGACCAGACCATTTGTAGGAGATTTTGAAAATGAGCCATCCGCAAGGTGATAAAATGGGGCAAAGTCCCTCAGCACCCATAAGCACCCAGTGCTGAGTGGAGCCTGAGATACAGTACATATAGTAGGAAACTGGGAGGTCAGTGGGTTTCCTTTAGATCCTAAAATATGTTCACACCTTTATCAACAAAAATGTCACTGAGTGTGAACACTTTTCGAGCACCCAGGAAAATATGTGAAAAGCTGAGAAGCTGTAATGAAAAATGATTCCAGATCAACGAGACTTTGAAAAATATAAGTATAAAAAGGAGAAAGCAGCTGACTTGTGCCAAATATCCTACCCTCAAGGGATGAACTCAAAGATCCTGAAGCTTAATTGGTTTACTTAATGCTTGCAGAGTTTTTGCCAAGAGAATAATGTCCTAGGATCAAACCACCTCCTAAAGACCCTAACTGAAAGCCCAATAATAATGCATGTATGTAAAGTTAATAACAACCAAACCACTGTATAACCTTATGGTGTTGCAAAGTGTTTTTATGAACATATAGCATATTCTCTCCTAAGAATATTCCAAATGTAGAAAATTTGAATGCCTAAATAAGTAAAGGATTTTCAAAGGTGCTAAAATGTGATTTTGTTCAATTTATATTAATAAAATTCACAAAAAAATAAAAACATGGTATGACAATGGGGACTGAGACAGAAATATAATTTATAAAAAACAAAAAAATGTTACTAGAACAAAGTGAATGATAATGTTTAGATGTGTTAATATATTAACAATATTAACATATCGACTGTGTCAATGGTTCTAGTGAACGATAAAACAGTAGAGGCACTTTTTTCTGCACTGAAAACATCACCATACATGGAGCTGTTCCCAATTCCTGTATCCTCACCTCACCTCATCACCTGGTTACACCAGGAAACATTTGGTAAAAATATCTATAATGGCAAATGGTGCCATACTGTATGTTAGAAGAAGCAAACTGGCCTTTCAGAAAGCCTGGCTGATTATAATGTGTCGAGTGGCCCGAGTGTGATCATGTTCACTTAGAAATTTTGCAAAAAGTTCAGTGTTGCAGTTAAAGTGGCCTTAAGCTTGTGCATTTTAATGGGTCATTACCTTTTTATAGTGTTAATGCCGCAGCCCGCTGCCGTGCGCCGTCAGACTAACAGACGGAGACTGAGATTTCAATGCGGGGCTTGGGCAGATGCAGGCAGACTGCGTGCGAAGCCGGGGGGCTGGGGGGGGTAGCCTGCTGTGGTGCGGCTCACTGGATTGGAACGCCCCCAGTTCAGCACTGCCCGAGAGGGAGAGGGAGCTGAAAGGAAAGCAAGAGGAAGAGAATCAGGACCTCGGGGAGACAGGCTCCTGGACAGGCTCCTGTAGCGCAGCGTCAGAGCAGTGAATTCGTGAGGGTTTGGGCTTGAGTATGGTGATCAATTGGATGATTGTGTCCCTGACGTACAGACTGGTGGCCTGATCTGGTCCTCACCGGCTGGTTTGGAATGCTAGGGTGACAATGACAATGACCAATAAAACCTCAAACTTGTTTTGTTGTCTAGGAAGACGCATTGTAGAAAAGACATTTATAGAATTAAGACTAATGTGTCAATCTGATCCTGCACTGCTGGCCAGCAGTTTCTCAGGTCAGGGGATCTCTGTTTTTTTTCAAAGATTTATCCTTCCGATCTGCAAGGTCATCAGGGGCTTCTTAAAGCCCCATCTGTTCAGTAGGCAATTGGGATAATTGTAGTGGTTTCAAGAATTCTTTGATCTTATTCAGGTCAGTGTAGACTTCAGAGGTAGATGTGAATTGAAGTCCTTAAAATCTTTATTGACCTGTGTGGGATTAGGGAGAATGGCGTTATTACTGTATTTAGTGACTCTAGTTGTAGCTAGACACTCATTTTGTTTTCAACGCGGTGCGAGCAATATGCTCGGGTGCTCAGCATGCTCCTAATAAAATGGCCCTGTCTCACATTACATACTGAGAATTCAGCTCTGATACTGGTGGGGTTTGTAAATGAAATGTTCACACAGCTAAATGTTTAACTTCACTCTCTTATATGTCGCATTTGGGTTTTTTTTTCAGCTTCTGAGTTGCAGTTTCTAATTTAGTGGTAAAATAAATATAACAGTTGGATAAATAAGATACTGTTGTCTCATTTCTGTAACACAGACAATATGATTATTGTTTGGTTCTTAGAAACACACAAGACATCAGAACTCTTACAGCTGAAAAATTACATATTCTTCATTCACTATACATTATGTTTTAAGGAAAAAACTGCTGCAAAATGTTACTTTTATTGCTGTTGTTATTAACTGTTAACTGTTGTTAACTATACAGCACTTAATGAGTGGGACTGAATCTCACTTCTGATTCCTCATTTGGAAATCCTATTAACAAACAACATTGACAACAAAAAAGTAAAATGTCAGTCCGAAATCGCTACGCCTTGCTCTACTTGGTATGGCACGCAAATCAAGTGGAGAAGTAACAATGTGCATAACTAGGTTGAGAGACTCTGAAAAGGGCTCAGAGTGCTGACCAGAATACTCTCACACCTCCTCTCTGGAATGTCTGTCATTTGGCTGCCAGCAATGCAGTTGTAAGTTCTTGCAGCATACAAAGTTGTATCCTCTTAGATACATACAGTAATTGTTAACACAATAGTAGATAAAAGTTGTAATTTTCAGGGTATACCCTTTAAATGCCTATTCATATCACTTTCATGTCAGTCAAATGGTAATGGAACATACTCTAATCAAGGCACTTTAGCCATTATCTAGAATTTAGGAGAAAGCTTAAGTGGAAGCTGAGATTGATACAGGATTAGTTTTTTATCACAAAAGTGTCACAGAAAAGAAATACCTATTAAAATGATTTTAATATTGTATGCATATATTTATTATCTGTAGATATTTTTATTTGAATATCTGTCATCATCTATTATGATTCTTTTCTGATTACACTAGAAACATGGATTAATTCTGTCCAATCAGCCTTAGGTAAAGCTAAACTCAAGATCAAGGTATCTGTAATAGTTTAATAAACATACTTTCCAGCTGAAAAAATCTATTGTAGAATGGTGTGAAAATAACTTCCACTCAAAATCTCACTCTGTGTTCATTGATAAGACTAGATCAATACAGGCATTGCCTCTAGTATTCGTTTGCAGAACCTGAGTAAGAGTGCAGTGTCTAGCCATGTCTGCTAGTTAAATTCTAGCTGCTGACATCCCTGATGGATAAGCAGTTTGTGTGAAGAAATTTCCCATGATAATGACATATTTGTTATACTGTATATGTCCTATTCCATTATAAGAGACTAAGTTATGAGTGATATGGTGGCGTGTAAAATACTCCTATGCCTTTTTTATGCTTTTTGTACATCTAACCCATATAGATTCTGAATACATTTAATCTTTTAGTTCATTTTCATTCCTAAATCCTCTGAAGTATATGCCAATAAAATGGTTTGTTGCTTTGTCTTCCTTTGCTGTTTCTCATTTGTAAGTTACTTTGAATTAAATGCACAAATTCCTGTTCCCTGTCCTTACAGGAAGAAGACACTTTACTGCTTGAAGAAAAGATTAAGTGGGGTGATGGCTTTCTTATCGTCTACTCTGTGACGGATAGGTGCAGCTTTGATGAAGTGATGAGGCTCTGTTTCCTGGTCAACCATATTAATTCAGGCTCTCGGAAAGCGGTTAGCGAGCCTCTGCCAATACTCATTGTTGCCAACAAGAAGGACCTGGAGTTTGACAGGATGGTGACCACGGAGGATGGAGAGAAGCTCTCCGGGGGACTGAAACTTCCTTTCTTTGAAATATCAGCCAGGGACAGCTGTGAAGAGACAGCGGCTGTCTTCCACACTCTTTATGGGGAAATTATGAAGCAGCTCAGCTCCTCTCCCACTTCCTTCAGGCGGCGGGCCGTGTCCAAACTGATGGACAAGATTCCCAGAATTCATTCCAATTCCACACTGGGATCCACTGGCAGGAGCTTCAGTTTGAGCTCTTTTAGAGACCTCCTACCAGACTGACAGCTTTATTGTCCAGGGTTCTGAATTCTCCAGATGCTCTCTGTTGGTTCTGACCCTCACAAGCTAGAGTACAGATTCGTGTGGCCCAGTTTTCCCATGGGAGGAAACTGAAGTCCGGCTGCCCATGAAGTTCACTTTTCCCACAGTTTACCCAAAGCAAAGCAAAGTGAAATATTTGTTTTTATAGTAAGCAAAATAGGACATTCCATAATGCAAAACATTCATAAACAATGATTAGAGTCCATAATGAGAACTTTCAAGATGTTATTGTTCTACTATGTTTTTTTTCACAATTTGTAGCTTAGAGCCCGACTCAGAGAAATAGAATTACTCAAACACAACACATATGTTGCTTCTGATTTATAATCGTCAATAGCATTTCCACCATATGTTTTATAGTTAGATTCCACATTACTCTTGGTATATAAAAACAACATTAATCCATGTCTTCTAGTCACTTGTTATTTGCATGAGTTAAAAAGAGAAGTTCTTTTAGCCCAGTCAATGTACCTGTACATATGTTTACAAATGGTAACTGCCTTGAGTTTTAGAAAAAAAAAATACTATCGCGCTGCAGTCTTTTGGGTACATATTTTAAAATATAATGGCAGTAAAAGAATCAAAGTCAAATTGTCAAAGGCCATGCCAAAGTTACCAGTTTAAATCTGAAATCTATGTAAAGAATAAAGACAAAAACTTATCACACTACGTTGGTTACCTGTGTGAGAAATGTTCTCCAGGTCATATTCTTACATGTTTTTTAATGACACCCACAAGTTGAGTAGTTTTACTAAACATGTATAAAACGCTACTGTAGTGATGAAGAGAGTAGAAGCTCAGCTCATTTGAGAAGTGCGGAGCAGAAGGTGTGCTATTTGGTTAGTCTTTAGCACTGCCTCGAAGCTAAAACTCTACCATAGGCGATACTGCCTCTATACTGGACATCACTTAAACATTCAAAGGGCTTCAGGCCACCGGTCATGGGGCTCATGCCCGTGTGATTGCCAGGGGTTTGTCAAGAGGATATAATCTCATACTGAAGGGTCGTAGAAAACTGCAGCCAACGCCAGTGAACTCAGTGAACCAGAGGGAGATGGTTCTGTTGTATCTTGTGTGTCTGCAGACACAAGATGGTGGAGGTTCAGACACTTTATCGAGCTGCCCCTTGGCACCCGAACACTGGGACTGCCATGCAGATTAGCTGGTGAACTAAGGGGTTCCCAACATTTTATGCTTTTTCTATTTTACAGAATAGGCAAAACAAATACAAAATAACAGAATCGTTTAGGTTGCATAGTACAAGTAGACATCTTATCATCATCTTAAGCAATTCCAATTTGATTTCCAATTGCTAAAGCATTTCATTTTGCTGACATTCAACAGTGCTTACATTCTTATACTTCCCTAAATGTTAACAGTCAGTTGTAAGGGTATATCTGTTTTAGATTCAGAAACACATTTTTCCTCTTACAAATATGTATTTTTTTTCCGCCACTTCAATTCAGACTAATGGGACAAAAATAAACAGTGACAGACACCTTAAACTGAGTGATGGGGTCCCAAGAGTACGGGAATCTGTCATTGCTAACAGGGCATGCAGGAAAATGCTAACAAACCTTTCTGCATTGGCTTTTTGAAAAGAGTGATGACTCAGTTATGTTGATTTCACTTTTCTTATTTGTACTTCAGCAAAACTCTCCAGGTGAGTTCTTAAATAAAACATACATACATATGAATTGGAGCATTCAATGCAAGATTCCATTACAATTTAATAAAAAGTTATTGAAAGATGACAGAGCAAGCATTTGCTTCACCTGATTCTAATTGAACACTTAATTGAAATGAGATCTCCTGTGCTTTAAGTAAATTCCCACGGGAATGTAGGCTGTGATATTACTGGAAGCAGATTGAAATCCCACACACACATACATGAACTTTGTGGGCTGAAAGTAAAGAGTACTTTTCCAACTTATAAGGGAGTTAGTCAGAATTTAGTTAGAAATGTAGCATGTAAAATTGAATTTTAAATGTATCAAAACCAACTCATTCAAGCACTCAAAGATTCATAAAATGATCAAGAATGTCAACCATTAAATAATTGCATTCTCTATATCATATATAAATATGAACCAATTAAAAATATGTTTCTCCTAAGCTAATAACAACTGGAAGCTTTACTATGAAGATAAATCAAAGCATTATTTTCTAATCACTTAGAAACTTGGAAATATATTTTTTTTTCTCGGTATGAACAAAAACGCTCTACAGCTGAGATTCTAAGCTACCTAAAGCCATTGGAGATAATGCTGATCAGAGATGCATGAAGTATAATAAAAGGTTTATGGATTGATTAGAAATGTTAACTTTTGTACCCTGATTTTTGTCAAGGTTCTGATATATGAAGTAAAGAGGAGTGTGAGCCAGAGATATTTTGGTATCATCAACACAAAGGCACAGTCTGTTCCAGTCCATTCCATACATTCCAATAGCAGAGCAGAGACAGGGAAGACCGTGAGAGCTCAGGACCAAGGAGGTATGTAGTTCCTCACTGTACTGTGAAATATGAGCAAATAAACTGTTCAAACAGTAGCTCAAGGAGATGGGTATAGATCCCTCACACAGAAATAAATACATCTAATTTTCCAAATAAGGACTAAACCTGGTGCAATGATAAGGAGTGATAAAATGTCCCGAATGAAACGGTAAAAGATTCATCCAATTGTTAAATTAGTAACTAAAGCAGTATAACTGAAAAACAAGGCATTTTCTGTTTTTTTGGGGTGAGCTGTAGGATTGGTTTGACTAGAATTGACCATTTATTCCCAGGTCTAGTCACGTTAGGAAACCCCATTCTTCACATCAACCCATTGAGCCTGGCAAACAAACTATTACGTAGTCAGCCTGTCCAGCGCTTGACGTGCCCCACCGCGTAGCCCAAGCTGGATTTTCTCAAGAGTCCCTTGGTCACTGAGCAACACAAGGTTCTTAACGAGTTCAACCCGTTGCCTCTCAGATCTCCTGCCAGAGTTCTCGCGCTCTGTCCTTCCATGCTGAAGCCTAGACGCAGACTACAACCATTTTCCCCCTGGCTGCTCTTATCAACTTCTCTTGCAGACTAAAGGCACACAGAGCCTGTCCGGTCAGTTATTTTCCCTCATGTGGAATTCCACTCCCTCTGAGAGCCCACATTTAGCCCAGGTGTGCCTCCTTTTAATCTGCATTTCCCCCTTAATCTTTCTCTTTAAGCCACCTATCACTCACAATTCCACTCAAGAACAGGGACTTCATTGTTCTCTGATGCACGTTTAATTAACCTGAATAAGACGAAAGCTTCAACTAAACATTTTATGCATATTCTTCTTACTCTACAACCATCTTCATTTTATCTTTACATGATCAATTACCAATCAATAAAACTATTTTCAGTGATGGTGTACTAATCCTGTCTTTCTTTGCATGACTCATTATGGAATCTTTCAAGTTCTTTTCCTTTTGAACTTGCAGTGCTGAATTCCAAGGTGCACCTTGATTTTTTACAAAAAAGCAACAACAGGCTGAAGAAGAACATACTGTAGGCTGGATGTGTGCTTTCAATCTATAACCTTCTCTCACTTTGATAATTGGTAAAGGAAATACTTCACATAAAATGTCACAGATATACAAAAATACTTCATTCAATTGGGTTTCAGGAATAAGGATGTGGGGATTTCAAATCCGTTGTAATAACAGATATAACCCATGGTGACATACTGCAGTAGGAATACAAGCTCCACATACACAGTGCCCAGGCAGAACCTCAGTCCAATAATTTTATACACAGATCCACAGAAAACGATGTGTTTTCATGTGTAATTCCACTTTTTGCAGCCAGCAGGTGTCAGTATTGTTATACAAGGCAACACTGCAATAAGAAACCTCTTGTTAAGAGCTGATCACACAGTGCACAGCAGACTCTAGCAATACAGAGTGTTCACCTAAGCACAGTGTTCATGCCTATAACTCTTTACATTAATTATGTATTGCATCCCTACCATCATGAGAATATGCACCTCCATACAGAAGGAATTAATATTACATTTTTTATTAATCCCTCCCCAGTTCTTACAGACCCAAAATACAACCAGATGAAGCATTTAAAAAATATGTCATTCCTAGAGATTTAAACTATCTTATACAAGTTCACAACTTACACATGTGTCTCAATAGTCTCCACAGCAGGAATTGTAGCCAACTATGAGTCCTGGCAATATTAAAGTTATCCTTCTAGGATGAGCTTTCCAGTTAGACCCAGAGCGAAACCACAAACCAACACAAGACCAGTCATTTCTGTGTTAGTTTTACTCTGCACGCTACTTACCGTTACAAGGTGTCACTGCATCAGAAAGAAACAACACTGCAGTCCACAGCCAACAGCAGGGCAGAAGAAAAAGAAAACAGAGGGCACTTCTTGAAGACCGCACAGTCCCATCTCTCCCTTTGGCTTTACAAAAAAAAATCCCCAACGCCACTTCCCTCAATTATCTCTGGCCACTATCCTGATTTGCCTTAATAATGTTGTATCAAAGAAGGAAAACTTCATGTAACACTTTTGTTGTGCTCATCAGTCCCCAATAATATTTTCTTTGTTTCCTCCCCTGCAATGGACCACAAAACAGGGCAGAATGTGAGAGAACATCCCAGCCCTCCGACCTCCACTGGCTGAGACTTGTTGGCCTAATCTCCACTCCATACTGTCCAGTGACAATAAGATAAAACGTCTCCCAGGACTTGAAAAAGAGGCAAGAAAGTCACAGGTTGGAAAGCAGAAGTAAGTAAGTAAGCAGGGGGCTCCTTGCAGACCGTGTCTGACAGCAGGTGTTGTGGTGGTCGTCTGTTTCTTCACTTCTCCATCGTTTCCATCCTGCTCCTGCGTTTCAGGTCCAGTTGCCACTGGTTCAGCACTTCCACACACTTCAGATGACACCTGTGACAGTACGGTAATGGATGGGTGTTTAAGCAAACAGTATGTCACAGTCCCATGAGGGCCACTGTCTACTGGATTATCTTGATGAAGATCTGAAAAGGAAGGGTAAGCAGACACAGAAGAGAAAAAAGCACGGTACCCACCAATAACATACTGTAAATGAGCCCCAAGGTGCTGACCTTCTCCCACGTCTGTCACTTTGACACATACATATGGATTCAAAGAAAAGTTTCTTATGCCAAATAATAAACATGCAGTGTTATGGAAGGAAACATAAAATAGTGCAAAATATTGAGAAGTCTGTCACCATCTGCCAGAAAGCTTATTTGATTGAAGTTTATATTCTGGCAAGGTAACAACTCTAGGTATTCTGCAAAATCTAAAAAAAGGAATTTCTGCAAAAAAGATTAAAGTTATGGATTGAACATCTCAGCCTCCAGGACCTGAATCTTATTAGGATGTTGTGGATTTACTCAAAGCCTGTTGTTGCAGAACTGGTTTCGAAGTAATAAAGAGACTACAAGCCTGACTGTAGCTGGTGTATAACACCCAGGACAATATGATAGATCCTCATAATATCAACCCCATTTCTCTGTCTCATCTCCTGTTTAATATGTAGTGTATATACAGTGTAAACATATTAAAATTAACTTAGCAGGCAGAAGCAATGCCTTATGCTCTCTTTATAAATATATAGAATAAATATTATAATATATCTAGAAATTATAAACTGTTAGTATGTATT